GGAAGAGGAGGACTCAGAGCAAGAGTCCGGAAGCTCGGAAGCCCCTGCCAAGAAGGTGAAGACGAAGTCGCGAAACGCAGACAGCAAGGCTTCTGGGTCCAAAAAAGGGAAGAAAGACGAGGACTGGGACACCAAGTCCCGCTTGGAGGAGAACGACGGCAAGCAGCAGTTCTTTGAGAAGCTTCTGAGCTTCAAGGAAGCCCTGGGAAAGGAAGAGACTTTCTTGCAGAAGTTGGTGTCGACAGCTGAGGACGAAGACCAGAGCAAGTTTCTGAAGACAGCAAGAACGAAAGCGCAGACGGCACAGAAGAAGATCGACAAGGCCTTGAAGAACATCGAGGACAAGAAGGAAGACAAAGCTGAAGTGAAAGCTGCTCTGCTCGAGGCCCTTGAAGCTTTGAAGAAGGCCAAGAAAGCCAAGCAAGCAGCAGACTAGTGAAGGAAAAGACTTGAAGAAGGCTTGCCTCTTAATTGCCTTTGACAGTTATGCTTCCAAACTCTTGTCTGTTTGCAGGAGGCATCGAAGCTCCTGGAGCTGAATGATCTCGCTAAAGTGAAAGATGGACTTGTGGAGGCAGCTGGTTTTTAACTTCAAACCTTGTAGCCTGGATGAGGCTAGCAGTGGCACCGGTAGGAGATGATGATAGCTAGCGAATGCAGATGTTGAGGAGTGTTGTTTTGTGGAGTTTCTAGCAGCTGTGATGTTGATGAATGTAGATCATAATGATGTTGCTGGCTAAAAGGTGCCCAGCCTCTGTAGGACTGAACTTTTGCATCCTCATGCAAAATTGCATGAAAGGATCGCCGAATGGCACAACGAGGGGTGGAGCCTCGCGAGTGAAAAAGAGAGTGTGTGTGTGTGCTGCTTTGCAATGCTTTGAATGCCTGGACAGGCAGGTTGTGCACGCCACTTGTGTTGTGCATGCCTGGATAGGCAAGCTGTTGCACATGCCTGGATAGGCAAGCTTTTGTTTACAGATATATGCTGCAGGGATCAGGGCCCTGATCACCCTGTCATGCACCGCAGCCCATTTCAGGTCCCCTAGAACCCGGAATAGCACAATGGGCAAGAAACAAAAAACCAGCCATGAGCCGCACTCGCCGCTTTTTTTGATGCTCGTGAGGCATTTTGCACTGGGCAAGCTGTCTGCTTCAGAAATTCAGGAGTTTGCAGACTGTGCGGTGAAATCTGGAAGCTCAGCAGAAGACTTGCTGAAACTGCAGGCCTTAGGAGCCCATGGTGAATCGCCACAGAACTGCCACAGAGACATTTCCAGGTGGATCTTCAAGAACATGTGCTCCCCAGAAAGCACCAGCATCAGAACACCTGTTCTGGTCAGGGAGTTGAATGGTGAGAAGAAGATGATGGAGAAGGACATCCCTGTGAACTTGCCCCATGCCTGGATCGACCAGCTCTCTGAGCATGGGTTTTTGGAAACAGTCATGGCTCCCGAAGCAGAAATCCGGAAATTCTGGAGCAAGCAGCTCTGGAAAGAAAACCCTCAGTTCCGCCAGGATACAAAGTACTGGAAGGCCATAGATTTCCAGGCAGAGGCCCCTATCCCACTCGTGCTTCACGGAGACGCAGCTCCATATTCGGAGACTGACTCCACGATGGCAATATCGATGCGATGCATGGTGAGCAATGTGAGTGTGCAGTTTTCGCAGCTTATGCTGGTGAACATGCCGAAGAACGCCACTGAGGACTGGGACAGAACTTGGGACCCAATCTGGAAGGAACTGTCGGAGTCCTTCAAGAAGCTCGCCGCTGGAAAGAGCATCTTGCAGAAACCAGGAGCTGTTATTATATATTCGAAGATATCATCTTGTTTTAAACAATAGTTGGCCTGACTGGGATCGTTTTCCATGTCTGGAAAGACACGACAGACCGCACCGAACACCACGATCCCACCCAAACCCATGTATGAATTAGGATTTTCGTTTTGGTGAGTGTATAGTTATAGGCTTGCTTTTGACATTTGGTGACTGTATCTAGTAGGTCATTATGGAGATACTATATATCAACCATACTCCCTGTCACTGCATTCAAGGCAAAGCGAGAAGACGATGTATTATTATGTCCGTCAGCGGCGACCTCGAATTTTTCTGTTCTCAGTTTGGCTGGCCCACTAGTGCTCGGAATGACCCATGTCCTTATTGCGAATGCACCAATTTTTTCGACGAGAGCAAGAACACGCATCCATTCAACGATCTGCGACCACAGGCTGCTTGGAGATCCACACTATTGAACCCTCGAGCTGAGGACCTGAGGCAGCACCACCTCTGGAGTGTTCCGGGGGTCGGCTTCTGGACGGTCAAACTGGATCTGTTGCATTTGATGGATCTTGGCATTTCTTGCCACATCTTTGCAAACCTGCTGTGCGACATTTTGGATACACTGCCAGGGAGCAGCTTGGAGGCCAGGTTGAAAGTCTTGAACCCGAAAATTTCGCAGATATATGAAGACCTGGAGATACCGACGGCTGAACGGTTTCCGAAATTGCTGCGAAGCAATTTGATGGCAGACACTGGATACCCGACTTTGAAGCACATCAAAGGCAGGACTGTTCGGAAGTTTTCGCCAGTAGCTGTACGGTTGGCCACGGAATATAGTGATGACTCGTCTACGAGATCTATGCACAGAAAAGCTTGTGTGGAGTGTTTGGACAAAGTGTACAGCATGGCAGATGAGAAGAAATGGGTTTTTTCTTCAAAGGATTTCACAGTTTTCGAAGATGCAGTGCAAGGAACCTTGTCCCACTATCATTTCCTGGCGAAAGATGCATTGAAGAGGAAGCTTCTGAAATACAGCATCACCCAGAAGTTCCACCTCTTTTACCACTTCGGGCAGCAGTCAAAATATCTGACGCCGAGATGTGTTTGGTGCTATGGCCCTGAGTCGTACCTGGCGATTGTGAAAGCTGTGACTGCAAGCTGCTCTCGTGGAACTGCCAGCTACCAGGTTGTGGGAAAGGTGCTTCAAAAGTTTAGCCTGGCTTTTCACTTGCTCTTAAAGGGCTTGTTGGACTTCGACACTGAGAAGCCGGAGGACTAAAAAAGAAGGGTTCTGCAAACCCAGTGTCTGGATAGACATATATAGTCTTAAACTTTTTATTTCAGTGTCTGGATAGACAATGCAGGTACCGCCGCAGCCACCGCAACTTGTCTGCACTAGGGGGCAGGGGGGCAGGGGGGCAGGGGGGCAGGGGGCAGGGGGCAGGGGGCAGGGGGCAGGGGGCAGGGGGCAGGGGGCAGGGGGCAGGGGGCAGGGCAGTGTCTGGATAGACATGTCGCTTGGTCCTAGTGTCTGGATAGACAACCTAAACCCTGAACCCTAAGCCCAAACCCTAAATTCATGTACGTACTATATAGCTTTGAGTGTCCGTGTTTGATGATAGGACTTTGCCGATTCTTCACAGTGTCTGGATAGACACGACATATGTAGCTGTATGTATATATGTATATATGTATATGTATATATATATATATGTGTGTATATATATGTATATATATATATATGTATTTATTTATATATATATATATATATTTATATTATATATATATATATATATATATACACATACATACATACGTATATATATATATATATATGTATATTTATGAACTCACGAAAATGCTGAAAAGTACATCCTGTAAATGGCAGAAGAGATAATAGATATATGGTGTTTTTGCACACATGGGAGTGCCTAAAACACACTTCCGCGATTGATTTTTCTATTGATTCCACGCTTGATTTTTCTATTGATTTTAACGACACTCTGCGATTGATTTTGTCGCTATTGAAAAAAGCCTCTCTGCGATTGATTTTGGCCTCGTTTCAATCGGCGCTTGAAAAAATCAATCGCGATTGATTCCAACCAATATTGGAGCATATGGGTAGGCTCCTTTGGGCGCATCTTGGTTTCAATTCAACAGACTGCCAGCCTTGGCTACGATATACTCCTCAGCCTTTCCGCCTTCACCCGAAAGCAGTACAAAAGTATGCATGTCGAAAGCATGTGACCGTTGAGGTCTTGATTTGTTTTGTCGGTTTCGCAGATATTCAGGTGAGGCATCAGGTTGTAGAGAGATTGTCAGTTTAGGATTAGGTTAAGTGAGAGTAGCTGAGTAGCTACTTGTGTAAGCTTGGCATTCGCAGACTTCAGTCATTGGCTCCCCCTCAACCCCAAGACCTAACGCACCGCAGTGTCAAAATCCAGCTTCCTTACAATAAGGGCTATTGCTCTCCGTAACATAACAAAGGACCGAGCATGAATCCTAAACCCGAAAAGCAGCCCAACATCTAAACAACCCTAGTAGTAGAGTAGGTAGCCTTTAACTTTTTTGTGTAGTATAGTCCCCATATAATCCCTATATAACCAAAAGGGTTATCCTTTAGTTCCCCATGATACTTGGAGGGTCGGGGGACTTAGTAAGTAGGTAGTAAGTAGACCGACAAGTACCCTAAAAGGGACCCTAATTGGGGTTATGGCACTTATAAGTCCCTACAATAACTAGTTACTAAGTCCACCGACCCTCCAAGTAAGTCCGCAAAGCCCTGAATCCTAAAACCTCAGACTGCAGACCCCAAAATCCAAAGAACCCAGAAACCCCAAAGCCCTAACTTGGAGCTGCACACTCAAAAGGCCCTCCGGCCAAAAACCCTAATTCAGCGTCGTCTAGCATTCAGGTTACATAGTACTTCAGCTTCTAGGAAATACCTTAACCCGGAAGAACCTACATTTTTAAGGACTTAGAAAAAGAAATCAGAACAAGGAACCCTAAAAGGTAGGTTATTCAGGGTTAAGGTAGGTTTAGGGTTCAGGGTAATACCCTCATCAAGCAAACAAGGAAGCCCAAGGAATGAGCAATGATGACAAGGAGCCCTTAGGAATACTAGGCTGCTACATCAGAGCTTTAGCTACCCATTAAGAGCAGAGGCTGAGCTTTTAGGACATAGGTTTACGGGTCATAGAGCTCAGGGTCTGATTATGGGCCAGGCTCTGGAATTGGCTGGGCGAGTACGTCCTGGACGACGAAGAGCTCCGTCCTGCGAAGGACATCTTCGGCAGCTGCTATCCCACAACCCTGAAAAACCCTAAACTCTAAAACCCTAAAACCCTAAACCCTAAGACCCTATACCCTAAAAACCTAGTCTGTAAACCATAAACCCTCGACTTTCCAGCTTTGCTGTTGAATGCTTTTGTGCATACTTTAGGGGCTTAAACAGTTACGTGGACTATGTTGGGGGCACCGCATGGGTTGTACTCGTATGGGTTTCAAACCCCTGTTCCGATTATTAAGGCCCCTGTGGTAGTGCTCTTGTAAGTTCTGGACATTTCAGTTGTTGTAAGCGTCAAAGTTGGAGTTGTGCAGCTTAGTCAAGGTAGTGCTTTTCCTGTCCTCTGGCTCTGCTTTAGGCTAGCTTTTCATCTCAGTTTGGTTTTCGGGCTTGCAGCCGATATCATTACAGAATCAGGGGCCTTAGTGACTAAGGCTACATTATATAAGCTCCAATAAAAGGTACTTTCCCATAACCCTGCTTACTAATTAAGTCCTATGCCGAACCGGATAGGGCATTTCACGACAAGCTCGTGCTGGCAGGCGGATCAAAGCAGGTAGCAGCAAGGCTTCCTGACGCAGCACACGCACATTGTGTGTCTGTGAGTTTCCGAAAATAGGGGACCCTAGTATAGCACCTTCAATAGTAGGATCCTTCTTATAAGGAGCCCCAGACAAGGTACCCCTAATAATCGGAAACTCTACACCCTAAACCCTTTATAGAACCCATATAGATCCGTTTAAGGAACCCTTATGGATCCCTTTTAAGGTACCCCCTATTTTTCGGAAACTCCCGGCTCGCTACGATGCCATGTGGGTAGTGGTCAAAATTGTGGTCCCTTTTTGGGTCCTTAATATAAGACGGCACCTAGTATTTAGGGTACCCGAAAAGGGACCATGATTTTGACAACTGCCCATGTGACCAATCGCGTTGACGTCGTATGGGTACCGGCTCTGGTGCAAATCCAGGTATTACCTGCACGATCAGTGGGCTCAGGAGTACCGCCAGCACTCCCCTTGGGACAAGGCGGTCAAAGGGAGCTCATCCCTTGAGGTGGCTGTGAATAGGGTCATGAAGGGAGAGATGCACCGGCAAAACCAGTTGCCGGGAATCACGTTACTCCTGGATCTAAAAGGCTTCTATGAGAACGTGTCTCACAAGGATCTGGTTTATGGTGCCATCAAGCATAAGTACCCTGCTACCCTTTTGCACGGTGCCATGCAAGTGTACCGGGGCAAGCGACATTTGCATGCTGAATCTATGATAAGTGCACCACTGGTAGCAACCAGAGGAATACTTGCTGGTTGTCCGATGGCCCCGGGGCTGTCCAAGCTGGTGATGCATGCAGTTGTCGAGCCCATTTGGAAGGGACCGCCAAAATGCCATGTGGACCTGTGTGGGAACCATCACATCAGAGCAGAAAGCTCAGCTTGTGGCCGCGCTACGGGCACGTATGCCTTTTCCAACACGATAGTCTTGCCAGGTTTTTGTCAGTCTTGTTCCACGAGGATTCGGTACAACCCGGTCGAGAGCCGAGTATCCTCCCAGTAATTAGGGGGTTCATAAAGCTATGTGTTAAGGTCTAGTTCTGTGTAGAACATCGCAGAGCTCCTAATTCAGACTGTATGACAGCATATCACAGCATGGTCGGCTGCTTGCTGATATTACCGAAATCGGCTACAGTAGAAGCCCAACAATTGGAAACCCCATAGCCTCAATCCGTAAGAGTAGAGTAATGTATAGGGAATCCCAGCACTATTTGGCCTTAATCCTGGTTCCAACTTTATGGTGTTTAAAACCCTAAAGCCCGTATAGATCCCTTAAAGGAAGCCCTTAAAGGTACCTTTAATAGATCCCTTTAAAGGAACCCTAGGATTTAGATCATTGCTGCTTGCTCAGATGTTGCCAGGGCAAGCTCCGAGCCAAACTTGACCCTGAATCCTAAAGCCCTGAACCTTAAACCTCAAACGCCAACACCCTGAACCCTAAAGCCCTGAACCTTAAACCTCAAACCCGTTACTAACCCCCTGAATCCTAAAGCCCTGAACCTTAAACCTCAAATGCTAACACCCTGAACCCTAAAGCCCTGAACCTTAAACCTCAAACCCGTTACTAACACCCTGAATCCTAAAGCCCTGAACCTTAAACCTCAATTGCTAACACCCTGAACCCTAAAGCCCTGAACCTTAAACCTCAAACCCGTTACTAACACCCTGAATCCTAAAGCCCTGAACCTTAAACCTCAATTGCTAACACCCTGAACCCTAAAGCCCTGAACCTTAAACCTCAAACCCGTTACTAACACCCTGAATCCTAAAGCCCTGAACCTTAAACCTCAATTGCTAACACCCTGAACCCTAAAGCCCTGAACCTTAAACCTCAAACCCGTTACTAACACCCTGAATCCTAAAGCCCTGAACCTTAAACCTCAATTGCTAACACCCTGAACCCTAAAGCCCTGAACCTTAAACCTCAAACCCGTTACTAACACCCTGAATCCTAAAGCCCTGAACCTTAAACCTCAATTGCTAACACCCTGAACCCTAAAGCCCTGAACCTTAAACCTCAAACCCGTTACTAACACCCTGAATCCTAAAGCCCTGAACCTTAAACCTCAATTGCTAACACCCTGAACCCTAAAGACCTGAACCTTGAACCTCAAACCCGTTACTAACACCCTGAATCCTAAAGCCCTGAACCTTAAACCTCAGACCCTAACACCCTGAAGCCTAAAACCCTGAACCTTAAACCTCAAACCCTAAGACCCTGAACCCTAAAGCCTTGAACTGCTACATAAGCCCTAGACTCCTATGTGCTCGGAGGGTCCAAGTACTCCCTATCATAATACTTTAGGGCCGTTTTAGGTATCAAGATCCATGAATAAGGACTACTTGGACCCTTAGGGCTAAACTTAGGATGTCCTTAAGGGGGGTGGTCCAAGGGGGGTAGGTAACCTAGTAATCCCCATTATTCCCCAATACTCCCTAACCTTCCCTAAGGTTCCCCAAAGCTCCCTAGTACCCTCCCCCCTTGAACCACCCCCCCTTAAGGATCCTATAATAAACCCAAGAGGCCCAGGGACCTCACGCTCCGGTGAGCCTTGACCTTTAGTGTAAAGACGTTTAAGTTTTCTCGGACCAAGTATGCAATGGATCATTTCACATACCAGCTGTTGTTATAGTAGAACTCCACGGGAGTATGATCAACATCGTTGTTATGTGAGTTCTACGGGTGCAAGTCGTGACACGCCAGGACTCAGAGTGGCGAACGACCATCGGGGAATTCGTGGAAGGTCTCCTGAGCCAAGACAAGCACGCCCTGGGCCCTTGTTTGAGGTTCGGTTTAGCCTTGTGGGCTCCCTTCAGGAATCCATATAAGGGTGCAGAAGGGGCATTAAAGGTTTAGGGTTTGGGATTTGGGGTCGAGGGTTTGGGGTTTCGCGTCTAGGGTTCAGTGTTGGAGGTTTAGGGGTTAGTGGTGGAGGTTGCCGGTCGAGGGTTTCAGGTTTGGGGTTTAGGATCTAGGTTTAAGAACTAGGGCTTAAGGTCTCTCAGGTTTGGGCGGGTTGAGGGTTCCCTAAACCCTAACCCCCCTAGGAATACCCTAGTCCCAAATAACTTACCTTTTTAAGGACTCATATATAAAGAAATCATAGTAAGGAACCGTAACAAGGTAGGTTCTTCAGGGTTAAAGTAGGGTTTAGTGTTTCGGGTACTACCCTCATCAATCAAACAAGGAAGCCCAAGGAATAACTAATGATAACAAGGAGCCCTTAGGAATACTAATGTAGGGGCCTTAATAATTAGAATAGGGTTTTGCGGTATAATATACCATAATTATACTATAATTATACTTTCATTATACTTTAATTATACTTTAATTATATTATACTATACCCCAAAACCCTATTCTCATTATTAAGGCCCCTACAACAGGCTGCTAGATCAGAGCTTTAGCTGCCCATTAAAAAGAGCAGAGGCTGGGCCGGGACCTGGGTGACATGACTTTAATTCTTCCCTAAACCCTAAAACCTAAACCCCAAAACCTTATAAACCCTAAAAGCCCCTAAGCCGAAGGTTTAGGGATTTTCGCAGTTTAGGGTTTTGGAGTTCAGGGCTTTTTGGTTTACGTGATAGGAGTGCACCCCCAAGCCCAAGACGAATACCTTGGAGCAGCCTTGCAGCTGGGACGTCCCCAAACCCTGGCTCCTCAAACGTGCCATCTCGCAGCCATCTCTTTCTCAACTTGAAGCGAAGGGGCCTGTGACCCACGGCTCACGAGAGGCTCGGGCACTTTTTGTGAGTAACACTCTATCAGACGCGTAAACCCGTAGAGAACCCGTACAAGACCCGTAACACGACCCTAAGTCCTAAACCCGAACTCCGAAAGCTGAAGCCCTCAGCTTGAACCCTAAGCCCCCTAAGCCCTGCACCCTAAACCCTAAAGCCTAAGCCCCCCAAAGCCCCCTAAGCCCGGAGTCCTGTCCGAAACTAAATTCCCAAACGCATAGGCCGAGATCAGAAGCCAAAAGCTGATGGACAGAGAGATCGACTTGGTATTTGGTTCAAAGGTCCTTTTGGGGGTCTGAGGGGTGTTTATTTTGGATTTTAGAGCCTTGGGGTTTGAGATTTAGACCTCAGGTTTTGAGGTTCAGCATCAGGAGTTTGTGGGGTCTAGGACAAGCTTTCGTTGATTGTCTCGCAGAAGGCAGGGCTTGGAGTGTAGGGCCTAGGGCTTAGAGGTTCTGGCTTGCGCGTGTGGGGTTTAGGCTTCAGTGGTGCAGGTGGCGCAGATGAACACGAGCAACGGCAGTTTTGCATAAAAAGGAGCCTGATTAGCAGCAGCAGCAGCAGCAGCAGCAGCAGCAGCAGCAGCAGCAGCAGCAGCAGCGGTTGGAGTCGCAGCAGTAGCGGGAGGGAAAGGCAATGGCAGTGGTAATGGTAGTGATGCCTGCTCGTCGTGACGATATTTGTGGTGGTCGTCCTGATGGTGGTGGTGGCGGTGGTGGTGGTGGTGGTGGTGGTGGCGGTGGTGGTGGTGGTGGTGGTGGTGGTGGTCAACAGTCATAATATCTAATAGAGTCAGAGAACTGGCACAGTCGGTACTGACACAAACTTGACCACCGTATACAATGTGCAACTGCATGAGTGTAATACTGCCGGCAAGACAAGGAGTCATAAGTTTCCAGTCGAGTTCTGTATCCTAAACCCTAAACCCCTAAACCCTAAACCCCTAAACCTTTAGCCCCTAAACCCCTAGCCCCTAAACCCCTAAACCCCCTAAACCCTTTCTGTAATCCCCACGGCTGAAGGCCATGGGAACTGGCATGGGCACCCAGTGCCCACCCTGGGGCCACGCTGGGGTCCGCGATGCCTACGAGGCCTCTTTCCTTTCGGACTTGGGGCTTCTGGGTTGGACTTGGGGCTTCTGGGTTGGGGGATGTCGAAAATGTAAGATACTAGATAATCTAAGGTGCACAGACTACAAGAGATTATATCATATAAGATTCTGTGTCATAGAAGATTTTGATTTTTTACACAATGTGAAATACCATATCATAAGAAAGTCATGTAATATGACATAGAATACCACATACAGCATAACAGATGATGTGGTCCGCAGGGGTGTGACAGTTTGGGGTTTGGGCCGAGGGTTTGGGCTTTTCATTGCAATTTCGGGTCGAGGGCCGAGGGTGCCACACCATGTGACTACTCCTACTACCTGGCGATTATGATAGTGAGGGTTCAGGTCTTCTTCCCAAAGCGTTCCAGCAGGACTTCTCAGAATCGTTGTATTAAGAGGGCGAGAATCTTTCTTGGCAATGCCACGTTTAATTTGAAAGTTTGATGAAAACTTTCAGAGCCAAGCCCTGAATCCTAAACGCTACTCCGCACGCGACCTTTGAAGTGGCCGTGTTTTTTCTGAGGATTTCAGGGATCCTTATGAAAAACAAGACTCCTGCAGCTTAACGGGGTCCTTCGTTCCCGGAGCTCAAAACTCCTAAGATCTGAAATCCATGCAGACCCATGATCGTAAACTCTAACTGGGAGTTTCCGAAAATTAGGGGTGCCTTATTGTGGTTTCCTTATAATAAGGATCCTGCTATTTAGGGTACTATATTAGTAGGGTTAGGGGGCCCTTTAAAGGCATCTATAGGGATTCTATAAGGGTATATGGTTTAGGGTTCATGGGTAGTGGGGAGTTCCTGTAGAGAAAACCTTGTTTAGGGTTTCGGGTTCTGGGTCTAAGGGTTTAGGATTTAAGGGGTTTGGGGTTTAGGGTTTATAGGTTTCAGGGATTTAGCGTTTAGGGGGTTAGAGGTTTAGGGCTTTGGGGTTTAGGCTTCAGGGACCTGTTACTACTCTCCATTGTGAGGATCCTGTAAGGTAGCGAAACATGCAGTTTGATGATTCTCGAGAAGGGTGGGGTTTAGGGTTCAGGTTACCTCACTCTCCGCAGGAGCTAGAGGTTACAGTGGAAGCCCAAAAGTTGGAAACCCAATAGACCCAATCCTTAAGAGCAATGTATACTTGGAGGGTCAGGGGACTTAGTAAGTACCTTAACCTACCAAACCCTACAAAAAGTAGGGTCCCTATAAATTCCATATTAAGGTTCATAATAAGAACCTACAAAAAAGTAGGGTTTGGTAGGCTAAGGTAGGTAGTAAGTAGACTTATAAGTACCCTAAAGAGACCCTAATTGGGGTTATTGTACTTTAAGTCCCGAAAATGACCAGTTACTAAGTCCCCCGGCCCTCCAAGCAGGGAATCTCGGCACGATTTGGCCTTAATCGGGTTTCCAACTACCCGGAGGCTCTGGAGTCCGACGATCGACTGGAGCACGAGGTGCTGAAAGACATGGATCCTGCAGCTTTCCCCGAAGAAGGGCTAAAAAGGGGGGGGATCCTTTTTAGGGTTGAGGGGTGGGCTTCTATGGTTTCTATGCTATCGGCTACATAAACGGTTCGAGGCTTTCTGTACATCTTTTCCCCGAAGAAGGGCTAGAAACGGGGGCTCCTCTAAGGGAGCTACAGGGGAGATAGGGGGTTTAGGGGGGCTTGTGGTTTGGGGGTTTAGGGTATAGGGGTTCAGGGCATAAGGTTTAGGCTCCCTTTAAGGGTTACTGTCAGGGCTTGGGGTTTTGGGCGGAGGGTGGGGGGTTTCGGGTTCGGATATCAAGTGCGTAGGTTTTCGAGTTTTGGATGCAGGATGAGGGGTCTATGGCATTGAGTTTCGTGTTGGGGTTTACGGTTGAGGGGTGGGCTACTATGGTTTGTATGTTACAGGCTGCATAATGCGTTCGAGGTTTTTCGGTAATGGAAAGCTTCAGAAGAGGGTTCTTTGAGGGTCTCCCCGAGGCACATCTGAAGCTTTGATGTTGGGAGCTAGGTTGCCGTGGTATCGCTTGGCCTACCAACTCTGAGGAAACCTGCAACACGTTCCGTACTCAATCTTTATACTAAATCTATAGAAAGGTCAACAACAACACTCCATGAAGATCCTATCAAATACAGTCACCAACTGCGTATAGGCTTAATTGTTAATCTTCTAAAGTATCCTCCGGTCCACTATAGTTTCCCCTAAGCCCTTTATAGGACCCTTATAGATCCCTTTAAGAGGAACCCCGAATTTTCGGAAACCCCCATAGAAATCCTGTAGGGGTGACGGTCTCGGGCCTCTGCTTTTCAAGCGCTGAGGACTACGAGTATGAAAGGCTCGAGCCGTCTGATCCGGACGAGGCAGGGTTTAGGATTTTAGGGGTTTAGGGGTTTGGGGTTTAGGATTTAGGGGTTCAGGGATTTAGGGCTTAGGATTTAGGGGTTTAGGGCATACAGTTTAGGGTTGCAGGGATGCAGAACAGGTGTCTCCCATACAGTTTCTGCGAGAACTCAGGGATTTTGCAAGGTTTCGGTCAGGATGTTGGGCTTATCTTCTTCGGGTTGACGTATTGGAGGCCCGCAGTTCAGGATCTTACTAAGAAAAAGGGCCTCAATAATTACCTATACTACGGTTGATGCCCTAAATTCTGCATCGGTTTAAACTTCCCCACGGCTCCCCTGCTACCCCCAATTTTAATATTGCACTGACGCAGAGTCAAGAAAAAGGGCTTGCGCGAATGCCCAAAATCCTGCATGACCCCAGGGTCATGCAACATTGAAATTCAGGGGTTGCGGGGAAGTGGACAGCGCGGTATGACCTTTGTGCGATGCTGTAGGTCATGCAGGATTTTGGGCATCAACAGTATTTTGGGGGGTTCCAGACCAACTATAGTATAATTGGCCCCAAAAACCTTGTTCTAACTATTAAGGCCC